CACGCTCGCGTCCTCACCTCAGAAAACCTGTCCACCTCAGTGTTGCTGTGATCCTTCTTGCCAGACATCAGCATCAGCTTGTTCAAGAGCTCCTTCAGCTCTTCCAAAGAGTAGTCCCGCGTCTCCTCGTGGCCACCGTGGCCCTCGGGGAGGATCAGGCGCAGAACCGCGTCCGGGGAAACCTGGGAAAGGCCATGTGTCAGAGGCGGTTTCGGGCGGCGGAAGCCCCTGGGCGCGCAGCAGCCTGCACGTGCCGCCCACAGCTGCGCCTGGGGACGGGTCGCTCACCTTTCGGCCACCTGTGGGTGCCTCGATCACATAGATGCCTCTGCTGTTGATCGTGGTGGCCAGGGACAGGGACGAGAGTTCTACAGACCCATGACTGTCCTTCACTGTTTTCAACCACTCCAAGTTCCTGGCAGAATCACTCTGTTGGGACAGGAGAGGTTTGGGCTACGGTCCCTGTGACTTCTTTCCTTCCCGTCCTCCTGTGCCTCCTCCCCCTCTGCTCCTGTCACTCCTCCCCAGGTGCAGGGCACCGCTGCCCGCCCAGTGCCCGTGGCAGGGTCAGGTGGCTCCTGTGTGCTCCTGCCTGTCCTCCTGAGGACCCGCCATGCCGGGTTTCCGTCTCTGTGTGCCTCTGCACCCACGTTTCCGCCAGCACCCGGCGCCCCAAGGCCCATGACCTGGGACTCTGGATACACGGCTGAGGGTGAGCAGCCACGGGCGGCGCTCCACTCGAGGAGCCCTGCGGAGTGGCGCCAGCTGCAGCCGGGCCGTAGGGGCCTAAGTGCCCGATGTCCTACTGTGGTCCCTGAGTGTGATGGAGAGTTAAGGAAAGACGGCAGCGAGGCCCGTTCTGGTGTGGGCTTCCAGCAGAAGTGAGGACAGCTCTACCTGCTCGTGCCTGGTCACATTCTGCCCAGCCACCCGCAGAGCCGGCTGTCCTGAGCGCCCCGGGCGCGGGACCACTCGGGACTCCTGTAAGCCAACGCAGACCCTGGTCCGGGTAGTTCACTTACACCTAAACGTTCACCTTTCCTATACAACACTAATCTGCATCGACTGTGGAAACATGGAGAATATCCAGAAGTGACCGATTGAAATGACAATTACTACCTTTCAGAGAAAAACACAGGTGACATTTTAGCATATTTTCTTTTAATCTTTTCTCCACATGTTTTGTGCCATAGTTTACTATTGTTTGTAAGTAATTTTGTATCCTGCATTCTAACATAGCAAGATGGAGAAAGAATTTCCATTTGTGAGAAAACCTTTTTAAACATCATCTTAAATGGCTGCGTACAAGCCTCCGTCGTTTGCGTTTCCCTAACGTTGCCAGAGCAACGCTGCGTTCCACACGGCCTGCTCTGGAGCAGGAAGGAGACTCACCAGTTTATTGGGCAGGTGCTGGTCGTTGTCCAGAGCCTTCCACAGTTCTGCCAGGTGCTCCATGAACGCGCCGAACCCTGCCCTGGCGTCCAGCTTGTACAGCAGGGGGGCGTAGCCCTGCACGGCGTCGTGGAAACAGGCCACCCGGTCCACGTCTATGTCGTTCTCGCCCGCCGAGATGGAAGCCAGGTCCACGAACACCTTCAGCTCGTTGATGCCTCGGGAAGAGAGGAGAGGAGGTCAGCACAGGACTGCCCCACACGGGCACGGGGCTCTGTCCTGCACAGGACTCTTTAGCGACGCCATAAATGGATGTTTGATAAATTTTAAGGTTTTATCCACTTTCCGTTTTCATTAAGAATGCAGCTATGTGGTGGCGGCGCCTGCGGTGCCAGCTACTCAGGAGGCTGAGGCAGGAGGATGGCTTGGGCCCAGGAGCTGGAGGCTGCAGTGAGCTGTGATTGAGCTGCTGCGCCCCAGCCTGGGCGCCAGAGTGAGACCAAAAAGTCCACCGTTGGGAGCCGTGAAGCTCCTGATGGGCCTGGAGCCAGTGCAGCCTCTTAGCCCCGACCCCGCTGCACACCAGCGCGGCCCCCGCCCTCTGCCCTCTGCCCTCTGCCCTCTGCCCTCCTGTCCCACCTTCTCCTCTTCCCTCTCAACTCGGGCAAAGGCATCTAAGCTACAGAACTGAAATTCCACCACGGAGTGCACCACACCGATGGGGGTGTTGGACAGCATCTCTCGTGGGCAAGAGCTTCCTTCTCCACCCAAAGAGAAGCTGAGGGGCGGAGACACAGAAAGGATCTGGGACCGGTCCTGGCAGCGCCCACGGGGCAGAGCGCGGGGGAGGTGCGGCCAGCACGGGAGAGGGCCGTGCGGACGGGACTCCAGCAGCAGCCGGCGCACGGCCCGCCTTCCCAGGGCACGCAGGCACGCCCTTCCGCCCACCGCGCAGCATGACCAAGGGCAGAACTTCTCCACAGTCAGGAACACCACACGGAGAACCATCTGGAAGCCCTCTCCAGACTCCTGGCTCTTACCTCCCAGCGCCTCCCGCACCCAGCCGATGAACTCCTTCCTCCCGGACAGCGCCTG